TGTGCAGCATTGTTCCGTAGCCGTTTTTCGCCAACAACAGCTACTGGTCAGCGCGACCCGACCCAGTGCTGTCAGCTTATGACTTCCAGATGAGAACTACATCGGCTTATGGGCATGAATAATGGGAAAATGAGAGGGTCAAGGTTAACACATGGGTTCGCTTCATACTCAAGATTCGATCTTTCACGCTGATATGTTTATGACAATATAGGCAGCAGGTATATCTCTGCAAACAAAATGTGTTTTTTACAAAGAAACTTTTGTTTCACCGGTTCCTCCTTCTCCATAAATTCTTCCTCTTCATAAAATCTTATCAAGCAGCCTGTTTTTATATAGAATCAAATCATATAATATGCGATCTACACAGATAATAGGATGCTTAATGTGCGTTTAAATTGTTGTTCATTTCGTATTTTTTTACTCATCGACTGGAACTAATCCTACCTTTAGGCTTCTTCTTTTCAGAAGAGAAAATGATGGGAAGAATTTTTCTGCTCACCTAGTGATTCCTGGAATGCTATGCTCAATATATTCTTACAACACATTTTAGATTTCTGAATTTAAAAGGTATCTTTTTAATTTCCTATCAAATAAATAATGAAAATGTTCTATGTGCACTTTACAGAAGAATTTCTATAAATGTGGGCCTTAATTTTGAAGAATGAGTCACTTTTCTGTTCATTCTGTTCATTAATTTGAATGATTGGAAGAAGTAAGCGCTAAGTAATTAGCTTTTACCACTAGGTGCTCAGATTGAGAATCTTTTTATTAATCAAGTCATCTGCTCAATTCATTTACTCAATATCACGATTTATCACTGTTTATTACAACTACAACTACTTAAAAGAATAGCAAGAAACTGTACAAGATATTCACAACAAATAACAACGATTTCTCAAACGAGATTGAAATTTTCGTCTCGTTTTCTTGTGTTTACGACACATTCATAAGCAGGCGGAGATACTGTCAGCCCAAGTAGTCGTTTTGTGGACAAATCCTTTCCGGGAGGAGGTCTAAACTCGAATTGCTTCAAAAGATTGCTGAATATTAAGAACAACTCTGCTCTGGCCAATGACTCTCCTAAGCATTGGCGTTTCCCGACAGAAAACGGAAGAAATTCGTCAATTCTGCGTAGTTTTCCCTGATCATCAAGAAATCGTTCGGGACAGAACTGTTTCGGATTGGGAAAGATGTTCTCATCGTTCATGAGTATGGATATTTGTGGAATTACGAGTGTTCCTTTTGGGAAATGGTAGTCATCTATAGTGACGTCTTCAGCCACAGTTCGAAGCAGGTTGATTGGAAGGATGTTGGCAAAGCGCTGGATTTCCTTTAAAAAAAGAACTTAGAAATTTTAAACTTTCAAAGTAAATTAAGGTAATTATTTGCACTTTAAATGCTTAATAACAGTAGAATAAGCTATCTTTAAACATTT